CAGCCCACGGTGTAAGAAAGGAAGGTGATGTCACGGCCTATCTCTCTACTGTGAGAGCTTGACGCACTTACTGAAGAGTTGTCACAAAAATCCGCCAGCAGCGCTAGCCGTACGTAGGCCACACGGACATTAGGTATTTGTGTGGGTATGCACCACGAACAGTTCACGTTCACACCGTGGCCCAACCAGTACAGATGGTAAAGGTCACTAACCTTGTTTGTAGATCGTTTTCCGTTAATTATTGAATTTTGTATTCAAACAAGATGGGTCGAAGATGTGCAGTTTCGCATTGTAAAAGTGGTCATCGACGTCATAAACACGAAAAAATTACTATTTTTTCGGTGCCCAAAAATAATATTCAAGTGTGGTCGGAAAGGTTAGGTTGTGCTTTGAATGAAAAATCCTGTGTTTGTGAAAAACATTTCAATCAAAATGATATAAAATCGGAAAAAATTATCGCTGAAGATGGGAAAATTATTTTTCAGGTAAGTTTCTTTAAATGTATTATTCAAATAAATCTTCAGAAACTGTTATATAAACCGATACTCAGTATCATATATGCATGGTTTTAGCAACGCTTTTCAAAGAAATCACTTATCAAAGGAGCAATGCCAATTCTGAATTCTGATGAGCCTCCGATGAAATTAGCCAAAATTGATACCAGTGCAGTAATAGAAGAATCTCAGGACCTGACAGAAGAATTACAAAACATATCAAAATTTTCAACTCTCCCTACAAATTTTACAGTCTTACAGAATACAAAATCACAATCAGATACCAATGAATTTGCCATTGACACTGAAAAAGATACGCCAGTAACCAGTGATAGCAAATTACATTTAATTACATCGAATGAAGTTATTAAATCAACCATTAATCTTTGCAACACAATTAATAAAAATGATCTAAATGGTTCTAAATCTCTCTTTCAACAAATATGTGCCAACGAAATCCATATTAACCAACCTGGGGCAAAATGGAACTTTCACAAATCATTGGAACCTCCAATACTAGTCTTTTCAGAATTAGAACTTGCATCAACACCGACGCGTGGGGAGAACAAAGTTCCAGTTTATACTAAAAAGGTGAGGTCTAAATTTTTTAAATAAACAAAAATATCTTTAATAAAAACAATTTAACTTTTTCAATAGGTAATATTGGATGATCAACTTTATGTAAAAGTATTCATAGGCCAAAAGAATATTGTCGAATGTATAAGTGATCTCAAATGTCAAGAGGATTTGGAAAATTTATTAATAGAAGTAGATAAGATGATAGTATGTCCTGGTGGCCCGAAAGTAGCTACATTTAAGAAAATACATCCTCAGTGTGCATATAAAGATGAAAATAACAAATGGAGACATAACTATTGTCCAACTGTTGTAACGAAGGGCAGTGTATGTCAGTACTGTGTATCTTTACACAAAATATTTGCACAGCATATTGATCGCCAACGTACTTCTAAAAAACGACTTGTCTTATCACCAACGACAAAAAACAAAGTACAATTACTTTACAGAAGAGCTCGAGTGCAAGCTCGAAAGCTAACAAGAAAAGAAACAAAAATCAAGCAAATAACAGAATATATAGACGAATTGCAGAAGAAAATGGATGAAATTGAGACTGAAAGTTTGGAGAAAAAAATTGAAAAACTGAATCTACCAGAACCACAAGTAAGCGGATAAATTTGTGTTTCTATTATTTATGAAATTATTAAATATAATTGTAAAGCCTCCAACATTATGTTCATAAAGAATTTTCAATATTAATGATTTGTAAATATTCAGAATTTCTTTTTAATTACTGAACCTCAAGATACTTCTGCGTTTCCAGATGTAAAATAATTTTAAAAAATTTGATAATTTGATAATTTTATAAATTTTTTAGCAAGGTTTTTCGCATGGTTTTTTATTTCATCACATTTCCCTTTATTTCATTAAAAATTTATTCTTGCATGCCACTTGTATTGTGCCGCTTTCTTCCTTTTCTTAGGTTGTATTGATTAGAGAATGCATTTCAACTGCACGAAAAAAATCTTCTACAAATAATAGATACAGTAACGAATGGATGCTAACATGTTTACTCTTACACATTCGGAGTACGGCAACGTACAACATGCTTAGAGAAAATAAAATTCTTCCACTACCTTCTAAGTCAACTATCTGCAGATACCTTCGTAGTTCTAATACAGGGTGTGGTTTTGATGAGAAGTTTTTCACTTTATTTAAAATAAAATTGGGGAAACTTCCAGAAGATGCTCGACATGGAATTTTAACATTTGATGAGATACAACTGAGAGCGAGTCTTGAAGTCAACGTAAAAAATATGAAATTCGATGGTTTGATTGATTTTGGCACGGAAAATTGTCCTGATGTTCCGAATGCTATGGTACAAGCCGATCATGCTTTAGTATTCATGTTTTCATCGGTAAAGCATGCATTCCATCAACCTATCGGAATGTTTGCATGTAAAGGTGCAACATCTGGAGATGCATTGGCCGGATTGGTATTAAAAGCGATCGTTGAAGTTGAAAAAGCTGGTGGAAAAGTTCATGGTATAATCTGTGATGGGGCGTCAACTAATAGAAAGCTGTGGACTAAGTTAGGCATAAGTGGAAAGCTGAAGATAAATGAAAAAGAAGGGACAGTTACACCTCCAAAATACTTTTTTCAAAACCCTGTCGACGATTCTCGAGTTGTGTATGCTTTTTCAGATGCTCCTCATCTTATAAAGTGTATACGGAATAATCTTTTTAATAAAAAAAAATTTAAGGTATTTATTACTATCATGAATTTTTCTCTAATATTTTCTCTAATATTTTATGTTTCAATATTTTTTAAATCTATTTCTCAGATAAATGGACAAGAAGTTGAGTGGAGATTTTATCAAAATTTATTTAAGGAGGATAAAAAACTTCCTGCAAATCTCAGACTTTGTCCCAAGTTAACAGAAAATCACATTAACCCTACAAATACCGCGAAAATGCGGGTATCTTTTGCAACTCAAGTACATTTGATTTTTCATTAACCCTTATGTCAATACCCGGGTACCCTGGTACCCACTTGTGCATATACGA